TTTTGCTCCGCAGCTTCACCCTATTTCCCCTGCGTCTACTCAATCCTCAGAAAACAGGATTGAGTAGACGCGGGGGAAATTGGGAAATGCTGTGGTGCATAATGCGGCCGCGCAGCACATGGTGTGAAATTGACACATACAATCGGGGCAAAGGGAGGAATGAGCGCGGAGCAGCAGCTTGTGGGAAATCAGCCAGAGAGAAATTGTTCAGTTGGATTCTCAGACATGTCATCAGTATGTGTTAAGACTACAGGTTACCACTTAATGCTTAATCTATATTATGGGATGCATGCATACTGAAATTGGGGGGGAGGGCATGATCTGCCACAGAACATCATGCAGTGAATTACCAGGCCTTATTTACATTCTGTGACCTGTTTGTTGTTCTTTAGCATTCCACTTGCTGGTTTCTTTGAACCTCAGAGGTTCATACTTTCCCATAACCGGTCAGGGCAGAAGTCTTCCATGGTCCTTTTTGCTGGTCCTGATGCTCCCCCACATTATAAGACCTTTTGTCTTTTTAAAACAGTGAGTCTGCAAGGTCTTATAGGCATTTTTTTTAGCATAAGTGAAACCTGGCTAGTTCATTACTTTATTAACCAAGCTTAAGAATCTCCATTCAGAGTGTGTGTGTGTGTGGGGGGGGGGCTTCTTCTTTATTTGTTTCCATAATGAAGCAAATTCTTTATAGAATGCATGAGTGTAATTGTTTCAGTTCAGAAAAAATAAGAATATGTGATGCAAGGTGCTGCTTCAGTTTATACAAAGATGCTTTCTCTAGCCTAGTGGATTTTTATTTCCTTTAAAAGTTGCCTTCCATACCAGATTGCAAATTGGTTGTGAAACTCCTATTTTAAAAGCAGGTACTAGATGACTGAAGGTGCTACTCTCTGAAAAGAGAATGGGCTTGTAGAAGTGGCTTTGTAGGATTTGGAGGATTCTTGTTCCCAGCTCTGAGAAGAAAAGTTGTGCATGAAGGAAATGCTTTAAGATTAGTATAAGAACAGTGAAGTAGTATAGCATTAAAGGCAGCCAAGGGGCAACTAGTGGGTAAACTCCAAAGTTGCTGTCTATATTTTTCATGTCAGAGCATCCAAACAGCCAGCAACTACACCATAAAACAGACTTATGGTAATTTCTCCTAGTAATTATCACCTAAAATGATCATTTGAGTCACCCTCATTTTCCGTACTTAACTTTTTTAGGGTCACAGATATATCTTCACTGAACTCAATCTAACCTTGTAGTTCATAGGCACTGATCTAATTTAAATAATCCTGTGTCCTCACATTTCTGCATACTTAACTTTCATTTACAAATACCGTAATAGCCTTTGATAGAATGGGTGCATATTATAAAATTGTTCTTCTTGTTCCTTGTTCAGATCCAGTAAATAAAAGGTTCATTTAATACCTAGACTTCTGATGTACAGCATAAAAACAAAATTCTTCCATTTCATTGTTGGTTTTGGTCTGCTGGGTGGCAGTCCTACTGTGTTTAAGCCTCCCTCATAATTACACATTCTAAAGCACCTAGAGGAGTATACATTTTCATGCTCACTTAGACAAGAAGGGTTCTCATAATCACCAGCTGCCTCAAACTGTGCCAGAGGTGGAGAGGCTTCTGGATGCTTGCTATAGTTCACCTAGTTCACCTAGACCTGAGGTCTTTTTTCTAGCCTCATAAGCCCGTCTGCATATCTCGCAGAATTTGGTGATAAACAGCAAATTCTTTCCCATTGCCTTTAAGCTACTTCATATGAGCTTTACTTAAGAATCACCTATCCCCAATGTGTCTAATGTACTAAAGACTCTCTTGGCCTTGTCACATGTCTCTGAAAAATCAAGTTTGTAACTGCAGAGGAAAGAAGGTACTTCCTTTTAAACATACAAGCAGAATGGAAAGCAATTATTTTCTTTTCTTTTTGACATTGATGATGACTAAAAATAAATACTGCACTCAGTCTAGCAAAGGGCTGAAAAAATCCAAAGCATGTTATATCTAAATAGTCAAAATCTTAATTTTAATCTTAAATTGCAATGGGTTATTTTTTTTTAACCATAAAAGATGCAATCTATGGAGAACTGATTTTATGCAATCCACTCTAGGAGCTGTAAGGAGCTGTGGTGGCTCAAGTGGTTAAGACGCTGAACTGCAGGCTGTGGAAGGTCGGTAGTTCAGCAGTTCGAGACCCGAGTGTGCCGCATGACGGAGTGAGCTCCCGTCTCTAGTTCCAGCTCCTGCCAACCTAGCAGTTCGAATGCAAGAAATTGCAAGTAGATAAATAGGTACCACTTCAGTGGGAAGGTAACAGCATTCCGTGCACCTTGGTGTTTAGTCATGCCGGCCACATGACCACGGAAATGTCTTCGGACAGTGCTGGCTCTTCGGGTTTGAAACGGAGATGAGCACCGCAACCCTAGAGTCAGATTCAACTGGCTTTCGAGCAAGGGAACTTTTACCTTTACTTTTACTAGGAGCTGTGTGTGGGAGATCACAATGAAAGAACTCATGGATTTCTTTAGCATTTCATGGTTTTTTGATTTACAATTTCAACTGGAACGAATTTTGAAGGGTCAAAAAAATTCCCGGTGGTTAAAAATGGCTTGACTTTCTTCTCCTGAGAGTATGAATCAATAGCAAAAGCAGAAGCATAGCTGTCATAAAGTGTCAGTCATTTATGATATTGTAAAATGGTTTATCAAAATAAAATTAAAAATTAAAAACAAAAAGTGTCAGTCAAATATATTGTTAAACATGAATTTGATGTTAAAAACAAGCCATGCATTTAGGCAACAAATGGACCCAATCCTGTGAGCGGATATTGCTTAAAAAGCTTAGGTTAAGTGGCCTCAAGACTAAAGGGTCAAACTAGATGAGACCTGGGAAATCTACAGTTATATCTTCCCAGCAGTAAATTGCAGCCACACACATCCTGGATTCAAACTGGGGTCATGGAAGGAAGTGGGAGTTGGTGTAAACTTCCCCTTCCTACATAGTGTCATGTATCCAAACCTATACACATGCACCCCTCTGCATTATGTTATTAGCTCTAAAAAGAAAAAAATGATAGGTTCTAGTGGGACACTGCGAAGCCAAAATGGCCCTGGGAAAGGACCGTGTTCCCTGGTGCTGCCCCACAATAGAGGGAGGGAGGAAGAGCAGCCTAAAAGTAAGCACCATCCAATTGCAGCAGCTCCTGTTCACCTTGCATGGGGTGAGGGCTGCCAGTTTGTGCCTGGCCTCTTCATAGAATCATAGAGTTAGAAGGCACCTCCAGAGTCATCTAGTCCAACCCCCTGCATGATGCATGAAATTCACAAATACCTCCCCCTCCACATTCCCAGTGACTACTGTTCCATGCCCAGAAGATGACAAAAAAACCTCCAGGATCTCCAACCAAACTGGCCTGGAGAAAAATTGCTTCCTGACCCCAATGCATTTCCCTGGGCATGTAAGAAAGGGCCACAAGAACTAAGCACTGAGGCAACCCTTCCTGCCCTCCCTAACTTCACAGAATCAGCATTGCTGTCAGATGGCCATCTAGCCTCTGTTTGAAAACCTCCAAACTAGGAGACCCCACCACCTCCCAAAGAAGTCTGTTCCACTGAGGAACCACTCTAACTGTCAGGAAGGTCTTCCTCAGGGGTCATTTCGTAGAAAAAGAGCTAGGGGAACTCATTAGCATAAACCATTAGCATATGCCACACCTAGGGGAACTCATTAGCATAACTCATTAGCATATGCCACACCCCGTGACACCAGGGGCCCGGTGGTGGACCTGCAAGGCCAGCGGGAGTGCGAGGAAGCCCCGCCAAGGCCCTCCCTGGCCCCAGGCAGGCAGGGGTGGGGAGAGGCGGGGAGGAAGCAACTTACCCTCCCTCTTCTCCTGCC